AATTTATATTGATAAAAATATTCACAATAAAGATTTAATAGTCATGACCCTTTGTGTACTGTAAACTGTGACACCACATTTAAGAAATTATCAGCTACTTCTACTGATAGTTTTTGCCTCTGGAAGATAAGTAGACTTCTTGACTAAGAGCTAATAAGGTGCTCCACTATCTGACCTTTGGCTCTAAGATACAGGATCTTCACGATCCAAAGTGGGCAGCCTGCCCTCCAAGGCACCACGTCCCAAATTTCAGTTACATCTGTAGACCCCGGTAAAATGCAGGCTCCAGATCCGTAGGTGCACATGGACCTGAGATGCTGCACTTGTAACACGCCCGTTAGTGCTGATGTCGAGGGGCTGAGGTAAGGCCAGCCAGGGCAAAGACAACGCTTGGACACCCCAGACCCGACAAGAAAATCTCAGTTATGAGAACAAGTTGGGGAGGTGAGTGGGAGGGAAATACATGGTCGATTAATGGTAGACAATTTTCTACCTTATATTTAACGAACAGGGAGATGCTACAACATTCATGTGAATGTGTAGGGAAAGAACCTTAAGTATTGAGGCCTTAAAAGTAACCACTAATGAATTAAAACAGATAGGACATCAAATGAAAATACGAATAAAAGAAAAACAAAACTCTATCAGTAGGTCAATAGTTTTTTCAAAGAAAGCCAAGGTAGCATGTAAAAAATAAAAATACAATAAGAGGACAAAAGGTAAACCAAATAATCTGTTATATCCATAAGGAAATGGAGGGACTAATTTACTAATCACAGGAAAAAAGTCTTGGTTTGGGAACTTCAAAAGACTAGTATTGATAGGGATTGCTGGTCACCTTGTAATGATAACAATTTAACCCTCCTTCAAAAACATGTCTTCTTTCCCCCTTCGTCCTTTCAGTATGGTTATATCACAATTTTGGTTAAATCAATAGTTCATTTTTACACTACTGTGATCACATAAATACCATTCACTGCAAATCACACACGTATTATGATCACGTCTTATACAACTTTTCTTAGCATTGATAATTGTGTCTTGTTTACATGCTTGAATTCATGTACTTCCTAATTTTCCAAGTATTTCAAAATCTATCAAAAGAATATTATTTTCCAAATGTTCAGAACATCAGATAATTCTGACTTATCTGATTTTAAGTGGATAAAATCAATTTCATTATCTTTTCTGGAGACATTCTCTCTTCCATCCTCCATCCATCTGCTCAAATCAGGACCACGTGTCCTCTCGGCCTGACACTTCCGTTTTTCCTCTGTTATGTTTAACCTGCTTTCCTTAACTATCTGTCTCGCTTAGCTCATCATTGTTATAGTGCACATCTTCCAGTAATTTCCTGGAAGTATATGAAATGTGTATATTTTAGCCCTTGTGTATCTGAAAATTCTACCATCAAACTTGATTACTAGTTTGCCTACGTGGAAAGTCATGTTCATTCAGCATTTGGAGGTCTTGTCTCTGTTGCCTCCCAAGTTCTTATGTTGCTTTGAAAATGTCGATACCATCTGAATTTCGAGTCATTTGCCTGTGACCTGTTTCCCCAAATCTCTGAAAGTTTTTGGATCTTCTCTTTATCTTTGGTGATGTAAAATTTTATGTTGATATATTTTGATGTGGTTATTTTTTCATCAATTTTCCTGGGAAATTTCAATGTATAGACAGACATATGTCTAAACTTTTCATACATTATTTCTTTAATGAAATTCTCCTCTGTTTTCTCTTACTTTTCTGATGTAATTCCTGCTAGTAATCTATTATTATACCTCATGAGTTGATTCTCTAAGTTCTTTATCTTTTTATTCATATTTTTCAACTGTCTCTTAGTTCTAATTCCTGGGAAATGTCCTTGACTTTATCTTCCAAAAATATGAATATTTTATTTTAGCTG